AAAAAAATTGTACTTGTTTTGGACATACCTTGTCACGCAATTCTTAATACAATACACCAAAAAGAATTCACTATATTCTCTGAAGTTGGAACAAACTGTTCATAAGTCTTAAACTAGTTGATATGACGGGATGAAAAGAAAAAATTACAACCTTCTACTCATTGTGACTTCTTGTTCAACATTACTTTCGTGTTTTTAATTCAATGTGATGATTACTCAGTGTAATATTTATTCTGTTTTCCAGTGTGAGATTTTATTCGGTATTAAATTAATGTATTTCAGTGTGATGTCATTTTCAGATACAATAGTCTTGTATTAATTTAACATGAACCAGGCTCAGCATGACACGAAGCATGTGATTTGTAATAAGCCTGGGTATTTTTCGTATGTGATTTTATCCAAATCAATAATCAAAATGGATGAACAATCAGTATTTAAATGTGTATTTTCGACGGCGGTCATCTTGTTCGGGGCTTGGCGAATCTTCACTTATACCAGTCTTGGAGTTCTTACTTCGCGTTATGGGAATTTCAGTGGTTCCTTATTTGACAAGTGTAAGTAATAAGCGTTTCTGGCATAACAATTGGCGACTCAGTCATAAAAATTGACGACCAGTCGTGACACTACTAAGGAAAGTTCATCCGGTGGTTTTTACTGGTATTTTTTTTACTGATATCAATTATTGGTGAACGCTATTCAGAATACAGTGGAGTTTTGATAAAATGAAAAAACCATGGTGTTTATCTTTAAAAAAAATTTAGACTTTTCTATTTAAATTTTATTTTTTAGATTTTGAACTTTTAAAAATGATTTGATTCAAATAAATTTACAGAGCTTATTGAGATAACTGAATAGTGTGCACTTGTCCGATCAATATTTTTTCAGATTTGGTCACATTAGGATTTTTAATCTCGTCGTTATACAACATTTTTATATTACTTAACATAAGACTAATATATACACACTTCGTAAACTATAATTTACCTTTGAAAGTGTATTCACCATATAGTTCTTAGAATGGTCGCTAGTATCGAGCTTCGAAATAGTTTTCTCGATATTCTAATGAGAAGTCAGGGAAGTCGAAAATCAGATGGTATTTTAATCACTGTTGATACTGGATGATCATCGAGATACATCACACATTGATGAAATCGGAAACTTAGACCACGAGAATTCAATTCCATAGCTTCAAAATATCTTGTTTATTGGAAGATCTGAACTTTCTGAGTTCGATCTCATGCTGGGGTTGTGGGCCGATACTGGTAAGAAATTCTAAACTCGCGTGTAAAATCTGTCTAATGTCCCATAGTTTTCTCTAATTATCAAGCTAATGTCGCCACAAGACAAAATACATAAACAATTCTAAATATTTTACTTTATAAGACTGTTTCTCCACTACTGAATATTTCATTAGCCAACATTTGTTTCAACTACTGACAAAAACCTTTTAACTGGTTAAACATTACAGTTATGGTGTGTGCTACTTATACTGACATAAGTAGATGATGTTAGTCGTGAACAGAATGTCTGGCAGCAGAGAGAAAAGAGAATCGAATAGTAAAGAATGGAAATATAATGCAATTTATATGAAAATGCAAGAACAATGAAGTCTGAGTCATGAGACAATCGGTGGATATTTTGCAAATTATGTATTTACTATTTGATTGTTAGATTTTATTAACAATTCCTGTAATTTGGTGTTAAGTACATTCGATTGTGCCTGCTGATGTTCAGTTCACTACACAGTGACTTTTAGTCGTAAACTTCGTAACGATTTGCTACCTAGTTTTTCTATGTAGAGATAACTTTAATTTTGTTAAACTATTGTCTGTCAGCAAACACTTATATGTTTCCAAGATAAGTAGATCAATAAAAGTTACTACGAAATTTGTTTATCTTCAGTTGGTCTATACAACAACCTTTAGAAAGAAATTGATGAATCGCTGTTTCACTACCTAAAATTTAATGACGTATTATTGATTAAAAATTAGCCATTTTTTATAAACAGGTGAATGTACAACACTTTTATTTAACAAGTCAAGATCTCTCAGTCATATATTTATACTACTTTTATACGTCAACCCGTTAACAGCGTAGAAGTTGTAAATCAAGTAAACTTTCTGCAAATGTGTATTCAAGCTCCATAACAACCAGATGGAGGAAAATGAAATTAAAATAATACTATCCAAAGTAGCGAATGCCAAACGTAAATAATATAGTTAGAAAAAAAAAGAATAATAACAAACAATGAAGTATATTAAGTCTTATAAGATGTTCAAATTTATGTCGTCAATTTTCATTGAATACATTTCATTTGATATTGTACATCAGAGGTGGATCCTAATCTCTCTCCAAAATTTAGTATAGAAATTATTTTGTCGATCTCACTGTCACAATCTACCTTGTCATAATCAAATAAATTATTAAGTGTGGGCTTCCAATGGTTGTCTAACTTAGATCGGTTCGTGATTTCCGTTTATAACTATTAATATTAACTAACTCTACTTATATACTTGTGTTAAATGTAACTTATTAGTGAAAAATGGCAACCGTCAGAGGTCCAATGTACAGTATATAGTTGTTATGGCCCAGTTAACTAACAATTTCTTTCAAACATTTAATTGGTCAAAGTTATAGGTAATTAGGTATATTCTTATGATAAGTCGTTATCACAAGCGAATATGCCAAAACTTTTCAGTTAATGGATATTCGATTCATCATGTGAATGGAATTTCTGGTCTGACTTCATTAGCCATATAAACGCTTTTGGTGTAACTCTTTAGGAGTTTGCCAAGCTATGAAATTTTCTTGTCGGAGTTAGTAAATTCTTTTCTGTTATAGAGCAGTTCGAAAAATTGGTACGGATAAACGTACAAAACCCAAACTTGATTGATAAATCACCAGAAGCACATAAACATATCCACTTCATAATTATTGTTATATTATTTCCGAATATATCTAAATTATATATCTCATAACTAACACACCATTAAAAATCTTTAGTACACAAGAATGGAGAAGAGACTAAACAAGAACATTCTGACGCTTGTGGACAACAACACGATGCACATTTCCAATTATATGAAGGTAGCGGTACGCTCTCCGATCACCCGTATATATTGTAGTACCCGGCTGCAGATATTCCCGTATAATTGGTATTATCGTTGTATCCTGTCGGTTTCTAACCCGCTAGAAGTGTCCCTTTTGAGATGACCTATCGTATATTCCAAGGACCTGTGAGGTATATTTATGGGAGTGCTCCTTACCCAGTCTTCTTTAACACTATGTCCTCTGTTGAGTTTTCCTTTTCTGACAACTGTTTCGTTTATTTCAACGATTCTCACGACTCCCCCAGACGACTCATGTAAGCTTGTCATTTTCACTGCGTATATAACTCTACAATACTCATACCACTGAACAGCCGAAGCTTCAGTAACATCTGAAAATGTTGCAGCCAGTGTTACTGGTGCTTTTATTATCTACTTTGTAACAATTATCATAATTTACCTTAGCCTCAATCTGGATCGAGCGAAAAAGTTCGTCTTCTGGCAGACTTATTCCTCCAACATATATTACATCGAAAGACAACATCATCACTGCAGTCTGCACAAGATCTACAATCACAAACAAAGGAACTTCTTAGTAGTCCCATTTGTTGTAGACGCTCAATTATAATGTCTTCTCTAAAATCCGCCGTGAACCGATCGTACGTGAGCATCAGGTACTGAAATTGGCGCCGTGACTTTGAAATCCCTCAAACGCTTCTGATTGACTCGTCCATAAATTAGTCTCGACCGTTTGAGGTTACTTAGAAATGACCACTTACACCAGATCTAGCCTAAAACGTTCGAGTTTCATGATGAAAACCTTACTGAGGTGGAATCCACTAGATCATATATCATCATTAATGAATGTCTCAGTCCTGACATAATCGATTCTATAAATCATAGTTTACCACTAAAAAATTTATCAATAAATTGGTCATTTGTGTAGAAAAACTTCGCCCCAAAACACTTAATTATCAAGTTTACGAAGGTGGATCGTAGCTATCATCAGATTAATTCCACTTGAAGTCCTTCAAGAGCTACTGTCGGCTCAAAGCCTGGTTGAAAGATACTTGAGTGTAGGGTTCACAGTGCAAACTAGAAAGAAAAAATCCAATAGAGAAACAATCCATTAAACTCCGTGTTGTGGATGCGGAGGAATAGACCAATAATTATCATGTTAAGTCCAATGGTGTCCTTGGACTTTAAATGGACATTTCCTATTGGTCGATATCTGTTCACTTGTTGAATATTGTACAAAATGTTGTTTTCTATTCTATGGTACGATGTGGTATGCTTGGTTAGTATATAAATAGAGTATGTTTGAAATATAATGATTCATATCTCCGAGGCTGTGACTTGTGTTCTGGACTCAACTAACTGGGCTAGACAGGGAAGTGGGACCAATCCAGACTCTAGGCCGTCCGTTCGTGTTTACGTGTCATTGGATCGATCGATAAGTACGCTGCTCTCTAATTTTCCAGTCAAGGACACAACAATTAGCAAAGGGTAAAAATCGACAGCAACCTAAAGCCATAACACTCCGTACTTGTAGCTAAAGAGTCTCCACATGGCGATAAATAAATCCAAACTGAATTTAAGAAAGCATTGAATATTTCGACAAGTACAACCGAAAATGCCTAAATCAGCGTTTATTCAAGACGCCAGCAAGATCCAAGAGTTGAAAATAGACCTCAGCAATTTGTTGCGAGCCTTATGTTGAAACGTGTGTGAGTATAGATTTTGATAAGCTGAATCTTGTCCAATTAGAGGGTTCAAAATTTTTTCTAGCCCGTCGCCAATTGTTGTAACGTGTGGACTGCAGGTTAGATACGCAGCGTCTTATTGATCGACTCAGTGACACGTAAACACGTAATGAACGACCTAGAGTCCCGATTGGCCCTGCTGCGCTGTCTATCCCAGCCAATTGAGTTCAGAACGCAAGTCACAGCCTCTGAGATATGAATCATTATATTTTAGACATACTCTATTTATAAACCAATCAACCAGACCACATCGTACCATAAAATAGAAAACAACATTTGTACAATATTTAAGTAGTGAAATAAATATCGACCAACAGGGAGTGTACATTTAAAGTCCAAGGCCACCATCAGACTTAACATGATAATTATTGGTATATTTTTCTGAACATCGTAACACCTTACAAGATTATTTTCATTGAGGAAAGCGTTATGGAGAACAACAAGAAAGAAATTAGAAACAGTAGATTCAACATCCCAGATCTCAATTAGCACCAGGATAAACAACGGATCTCTGCACACATTTTGGAGAAGATTAAGGAAATGTAGGTCAAGAAGGCAACAATCGAACATGACTGGAGAAAGCCAAGGCACAGAAGCGAACATGCGAGTGAAGAAAAACACCAAGTTGAAATATGTAAAAGACCTAGCGACTACAATAAAACAAACTGGAAGGAAGGGACATGTCAAGCAACCAAATGATACAATCAAGAAGCTAGTGAGGAAATGTAGTAGACCAGAGCAACCAGTCAGGAAAAAACAAGAAAAATCAGTCACTGAGGTTAGAGAGAAGCAGATCAGACTAGTAGAGCACTTTGAAGAGTTCCTGAATAGACCAGTCCCGTTCAACCGATAACACAAAGGCCTCCCTACAAATGTTACTGTGCCAGAAATAAAAAACATCAATGCCATCAGACAAATCAAGAATGCCAAAGTAGAGGGACCAGAAAGCATAGCGGTGGAAGCACTGAAGTCAGGTATAGAGGCAACTGCAACATATTCTCTTCAGGAAGCTCTGAACGGGAGGACAAGTTCAAGAGGGATACCCTATCAAAACATTGAAAAAAGGAGATCTTAGTAAGTGACATCATACTACTGTCAGTTCCAGGCAAAGTTATCAACAGAGTGTTACTGGACCAAACGAAAGTTTCAGTAGACACCATACTCTCAAATCAACAAATCGGATTTCGTGAGGATATATCATGCACCGACCAAATTGCGGCACAGGACATCGTTGCTGAGCAATCAGCCAAATGAAATTTATCGCCATACAACAACTACCATAATTGTGAAATAGCATGCGACAGTTCAAACTGGAAAGACTTGTGGAATCTTACTTGAAACTATAGAGTGCCCGAGAACATCATCACCATCATACGGAGCTCCTATGACGGACTTTATTACAAAGTCATGTATGGAGGCACCTCACAGATGAATTCCAAGTGAAGACTGATGTCAGACAACACTTCCCACTTCCGCCTCTCCTCTTTCTTCAGGTTTTTGATTAGATTATGAAGACTTCCATAGCTTAAGAGAAGCACGCAATACAGTAGACACCTTAAGTGTTGCTGGATGATATGGATAACGTAGTCGTCCTTAAGGTTGAAAAGAGGCAAATCAAAGGAAACATGAAGGTGGAATTTGGAGGCAGATAAAAAGACCGTAAATACCTCTCGACAACAACATGGGAGGAGAGTCCAGAATAGAGTTGCTTGGAGATTCCTGGTTAGTTACTTATGTCCCAAGAGGGGTAGAAGGCATAAGTTAGTAATCATCGGTTTGTTTACCCATTAAAATCCCATCAGCAGCTTCAGTATAAAATTATTCCATTCACATTGAAATCAACATACATTAAATACAATCTTAAAGAAGTATTCCTATAATTGCCAAGGTATTATTAATCATTGATCTACATCACTATGACGATTAGCAGTTTATTTGTTTGAATAAATCAATCACGATAAATGAAGAGAAACAACGATAAAAAACAACCCTTTACAGGTACGGTAGAAATTTATTTTTTTTTACAGGAAAGTCCTCGTTAAGACCAACAGTAACAACTATGATAACCGATAAAATGCCAGAAAATTGATTTTACCCATCCAACTAACCTATTATTCTACAATGTAAAAAAAAACACTGAAATCCTGAAAATTCAGAATTGGAACGGAAAGTTATGACAAACTGGATGAACACTTCTCTTTTAAAAAATACAGTTTTCTTTTACAAAAAAAGGAATAATGGAAGGAAGTAAACTACAGTATATTTTTCTCGTATCACATGCAAATAAACAAAATATACACAGATACGAAAAAAAACATGAGCTGCTTCTTTGTGTTTAACATTAAATAATGAATGGATTGTCAAAAAGGTGTAGAGATTGTAGAACGTTGATTGATTAAAAGAGTAACAACAATTTTAATAATAGTAATAATGAGTACAGGTTGACATTCAGAAATGAAATAAGATAGACTGGTGAAGAAAAATAGCCAGACGGAAATGATACAACTGTCATCTATGACAGTAGCTACCGGAGAGAAGATAAAAATTATTAGTAATAGACTAGGCACTATATATATATGAACATGCATTTCAACGACATTAGTGGAAGATAAAGTACACAAATATGTACACGTCCAGACACATACACGAAGAGAAATGTAAATTTTACAATCATTAAAATCATCAATGATTTAAAAGGGATAGAATGGCAAGATAAACAGGAAGTATGGGTGAACAGGATGATAGTTTTAAAAGCGAACTACTGTTTCGAAAACGAAGTAGAACGTAAAAGCAGAAAATGTGAAAGACCAAACAAAAATATACAGATATGGTTCTATTATAATAATGATTATATAAAACTGATACATGTTATGTATGATTATATATAAAAGAAAGAATATGGAATGTCATACACGGGAATAACACTAGTGTGTATGATTGCATAAACTTTATTGTATAGAACGTTATATTAACATAGAATAATAAGTTATGACGATGACAATAATTGTTTTAGTAACAAGAACAATTTATCGTGTTATATATGAGATAATTGAATACGGAAAAGTAGAACAAGACAGTATATTTACACAAAATCATCCATTTCATTTAAAATGAACTCCATAGCTGTACAACGAAATTCTGCAGTTTGCCAACATTCTAATAGTTTTTTACATTCGGCATTAATCACATATTCAATACGTTCACGATGTTGCATTTTCATCATACATTTAGTGATTTCCAATGACTAAAATTTGATAAGGAGAGAAAATCGACCACTTCAATTTTTATATAAAGAAATCACTATTAAATTAAGTTTATAATAAGATTAACGAGCATTGTTCTTTCACCGTTCAAATATACAAATCGGAAAAATTGTAAGACAAAGATCAAACAAAAATACAATCAAACTTAATTACCTTAATATATATATTACTATTTATTAAAAGCAAATAAAAACTATCCTTTGTTTTGCCAAGCCATGTTATAAACTGCTTTTTCTAGATATGTTTCATCACGCCTAAACATGAACAACAGGCGTTAGGGGTATAGAAGCCGCTAACGTGTTTCGATGTGATATGTTGTTACTGAAAATCGGCTTATGAATGCTGCTTCACTTGCATGTTTTCAAAATCAATCAATGGTTAGATCATGAAATCGTAAGGAGATAAATTCAGCACTTTTATAGGGTCACGTACTAACAGCCTATGGATGTCTAGATCTTTTGGTAGACTGGTACCTCTAATTAATCTTAACATAGCCTGATAATTGGTTGCAACAGTAGATACAGATAATTTATTCACGCTATTTCTGTTAAGATAATGAATATCGACCATTAAAGAGTAAGAAAACATGCGCACATATCAAAGTGCAATCACAACTTATGCGTATACTTTATTTGAAGAACCTGAACAAATACTAGATATCGGTGATTGACTGTAATATGAAGTACACGAGCACAGATTTGAATTACAAGTGGACTTCATAAAACACACCAGTGATAACTGACCTGTAAGTTAATGCTAGTCAAAAATAGATTGCGATCTGCATTGCAACATGGTCGATAGCATTCGATCTACACTAATAAGGACTTGACACACATGACATTTATCACTACCCAGTGATCAATCAATTGTGATTACATCTCAGTCCTACAGGAGGTTAGTCACGGCTCGGATAGCTCAGTGGTAACGTCTCTGACTGTGAAGCTGGGTGACACGAGATCGAATCCGCCAGGGAGCACCAGTTCCCTCAAGATTACAGGTACACCCTGCTAACGAGTGCCAAGTAGCACGAAACCCGGGTTTCCTGTCGACTACCTCTAACCACCATCTAACTCCGAATGGAAGCCTATTTTAAACGTGCGTATCTGTATGTCAAGAACAGACAATCTTAACTAAACCTTATTGTCGTGTAATTTGTATCAAGGTACAAAGGATCAAGGCAGGAGGTTTGAATGTCAAGAGTGATCTTACAATACATAGATTACGTTGTATTGAGTGACGGCTTTCTTCAAATAATTATTTGGTATACCAAGGCTATTTAAACAGGTCAGAACAACAAATAGAAATACGTGTCTAAATAAGACAGGAATCAGAAGTGAATGTAAGAGAACTGTGAGGTACGTTGAAATAAGACGGATATGAAAGTTTTTTGCGAATATAACAATTAGTTTGCTTGTTTCCCAAAGAGGTTATTCATATTTTTTATTTTGGAGTAGACGTAAGGGTCGTGAAATTGACATCTGTCCCGAAATTCAAGACTTTCTGGAGGATTACTACTTTCAAGACTTTAGAGACAACAAATCTAAAACTGAGAAAACAAACAGCCTAGAACGAACATAACGATTAGCATGTCGTAATGGCTGAAAATTAGGAGTTAAATAAGATACATTACTGGCAACACTGTGAGTCATTACGATAATACTTACAGATTAAAAGCAAAATCAGAATCGGGATTTGTGGTGATCGTAGTAATTTTAATAGCTGAATTTATGAATCGATCTAAGTTTAGTAGTCTTAGATCCCGCACGCGGAATCGTGGATGCGCACTCCTGAGGAATCCGATACTAGGATAAAATGGCCGTTCAGTGCTTTTAGGTTTTCAATGGCGGTCTAGCTTAGATCGACTCATAAATTCAACTATTAAAATAAAAAAGACTGAAAGTCTGTAATCCATATTTCGTAATGAATAGATTTGGTTAATATTAACTAACTAATTACGAACGGATAGTATTAAAAGTGAGAACTCTACATCGCTTGATAATTCCACAACATTCTACACATACTCATTTGCTTTCCAGATTTTCCATTGTTGTTTTTTGAACGAAAGTTAAAAACATATTAAAGCAGTATGAGATGTAACACGCCACTAACCATGGTCCAATCAAAAGAACTATCGAGACGTTAGACTGAGAGTAATTTTTTCGTAAAAAAGACATTTAAACGAGAACCATTAAACTTCATAGTTAAGAAGTACTGTGCGTTTATAGCTTGATATTCTAGTCAGCAATCGTCTTCTAAAAATTTTCTCTTATTATATATACGAGAAACCAGTAAGTCTCTGCTATATATCTATTTACCATCGGAAAACACAATAACGTGTTTACGAAATCTCATGAGATGAAATATGAGAACAAACGATAAACATTCAAATAAAGACTATATCAGGTTGCTGAAGTGATATGTAAAAAAATGGGAAAATAAATTCATAACATCATTTTTAAGGTAGTAAATATTTAAACACCTAGAAATCAAGGAATAGATAAATGAAAAAATAATAACAAGTACAAAGATACCTACCATACACGAATTTTCTGCTAATTTTCGACAACGGAGAAGTAGTTCTTGTTTAAAACTTTTGGGGAACAAAAGATCAGAAGCTAAACCTCGTTGTAAAGCTTCACGTGCGGACAATTTACGACCTGCTAATAATAGTTCGTTTGCCTGTACAATAATTTTTATGAAGAGAAATATTCGATATGAATAAACGAATGTTTTTTAATAAAAACAACTTCGGAAATCGAACCGGAAAAAATAAAATCAATTACCACGGAATTAAAGCAAAATAAATGTTGAAAATGTTATTATTTCGTAGACTGTCTGAATTTTAATTATATTATGGATTGATGATTAAAACATTTAACTTCTAATAAGTGAGTTATGGATTAAGACCTGCTTCGCTTACTTCATCTTAGGGAGTCGGTCAACAACCATAACAACAGAAACAAGACTCAAACATTGATACAATGAGTTAGTTTATAAAATTTATTTTGTTCTGAACAAACGAATATCAAACACTGTGATTCATTTTGGTTCAAAAATTCGTCATATAACAGTTCATATGAAGATCAATGAATATATATATATATATATATATATGGACTTGGCAAATTGCATTAACAGTTCGTTCTTTTATCACTAACCAAAACAGAACATTTCTTACAGACTCTCAGTTCTGATAGACAATGATTTTGTCGCTGCCTGATGCAAATAGTAACAACATACTGTAAATTCGCGATTATTTTGTCAGTTTTTTTTCATTGCATTCCAATAAGTTATTTCATATATCTTATATTAAGGTAACGAATAATAAAATCAAAATTTGATACATATGAAAGATAAATATTTCATACAACTTACCAAAGGCATACCAACAAGACTGTTTAAAGTGTAAGTTGATGCTCCTTCAGGGATTTGACCAAGTCGAGTGTATGGCATATAAAATGTAGCTGAGTCACTTATGTAAACAATGTCACACAAAGGTAATATAGCAACAGCCAGTCCTAATGCTGGACCATTTACACCAACTACAACAGGTTTAGGAAATGAAACTAATGCCAATAAAAATGACCTTAAAGCTGCCGCTAGACGTCCGACATTTGAAGCATTTGGTGAGCAGAAAAATGAATGAACTCTATTTGCATTTCTGTGAGATGATGAATTTAAATTTGAGTCATAGTTAGTTTGAGAAAATGAACAATTTGTATTATCAGAATGATGTGATTTTGAATTATCAGCTCCAATTTTATGATGATTTGAATTACGTGAAGCGAATACATTGGCTGAACTTGAGGATGAACTGCGAGATGAATCACATGAAGATGGACCAATAAATGCACTTCTTAAAAGATCGCCCGTAATTGTTGTCAAGTCTATTCCGGAGCTAAACACAGTTCCTGTCCCAGAAATCATGATTAAACGACTTGTATCATGTGTTGCTCGGTTCAAAACAATGGTTAATTCTTCAAGGACCTTCACAAATGCAAATACATGAGAAAAGTACAGAATTTCCAAAATACAAATAAAATTAAATACTGAAGAGAAATTAACACTGATATTATCAATATGATGATGAAATTTAGGTCAAAAGATGAGTTTAAACCATCTTTTTTACGATATAGATCCAACGAGTTCCAACGAAATACTATAAAACACGTGCTTGGTCTCTATCTTCGTAAAATAACTGAAACATTCATTTATTGATCATTTGAATGAGAATTAAGCAACTGTTTGTAACCTAATCGAACTGCCTTGCCTCGATTTTAATCAGAAAGAGATACAAGTGATAACTGATGTCTTAATGGTCAGTAGATTATTGATATAATAATTTAGCATGTAGTGACAGTGATTAACAGAACGATAAATATTCTGTTATACTAAACAACACATTACTCTTACCTTGACTGCAATCACGTCTTAAAAATTTTTTCTGAATAATGAGTTCGTTTTTATGCATCTTCTTATAACTGATACAAATCAGTAATTTATTAGTCAGAGACAATCATTTTTGGGTAATTAACGCTGAGTCTGTAGTATTTATTTATTGCCATTATGTTATAAACGACAGAATTCTCAACACAAATGACAGAAATGTAATATCACAGAGCTTTGCTCAGCTAGAAACTTCTTAAAAGGACGGTTGATAAGGAGAAAAACTCTCACTAAAAATGAAATGAACCTGAGCGACAATCTAGCTGGACGTGATATGAATACCATGAAATGTTACATAATGAATAACACTTTTCCGATTGACAAATCTGAATACAGCAAAGGGAACAAACATAGCAGAATTGTATTAATCCATTTTATTTCATTGTTTCTCATCAGTTACTTACAACCTAAACACAAATGCTAATCTTTAAAAATCAGTGTACATACTTTGCTTCACAGTATAAAAAATGTTCTCATTGATAGAGATTAATAAAGGAGCAATCGATATAGAAGAATTATAAAAAATTTTCAAACGGATGGATACTTATGTTAGTGTGAAAATTCTAGATTTCCTACTGAGATCACGAATTGACCTAAATTAGACAACCGTTGGAATCCTGGAGGCAATGAACGGTCGTTTCGTCGCAAAGTGAGATTCATCAGTAGTGTACATCCACCACTTCGCAACCGGGAATCCAACCCAAGACCTCTGGTATCGTACGCAGATACTTAAACTTCAGACCACTGAACGGGATCGAATAATGTACATGTTCAAGATCTATCAATCTGCGATCTCTTATAAACTACGTGAAGATAGGTTAATAGAAGAGTTTACATAAAAAGATACGTAGTGACAACACAAAGGATTGATTATAATATTTTGGTTAATAAAACTCAGATAAAAATTAATGAAGTTCGAAAAAATCAAACTATAATTGTTAAAAAAAGTCCTTACGAAACTAGACATTGAAAATGGGTCACCAGAACAAAATAAAGTTGACAACAGTATGTTTTTGAATCCACAATTATGGTTTAAACCCTTCGATAGCAATGGTTAAGACAAAACGTAGTATATTCAAAGTTCCCTGTTTACCGAAAATTGTGAACGATTTTGAAACCTCAACGTCATATTCACTATCAAGTAATTGACGGGTGATTGAACCGTTAAAGACATACTAACCTCCTATTCTAAACTTCTGAATAATGAACTAAGAAATGAGGACATCAACACTGCTTTTCGTTCTTCCAATGTATGTGCTTTGACACGTACATGTAAACCAGTATACATAACTACTTGCCTTATTTATCCGTCAACCGATCAAATGTCGTGTTTACTGTGCAACAGTTCGTCCCGTCCTACTTTATGGCAGTGAAACATGGCCGGGGTAAGAGTAGAGGATATTCGTAGGTTACTAGTATTCGATCATAGATGTCTTTGAAACATTGCTCGTATATTCTGGGATCATCGAGTAAATAACTCAGTTGTTAGGAAACGGGTTGTTATATCCGAGTGGAGATTAAATTACAGGTAACTTCCGAGGACTATTCATGGACTAATATTCTATAAATATTCTTATTGTATAACTATTCAACAATTACATTATGTATATTTATATCCCTCTTATGACAAGCTTTATTTTGGCCTATAATTTATTATTGTACGATTTACGGTTCTTAAGTTATGTTCAGTTTATTAACTACTGCCTCCCACATTCACAGCCACTTTTTGGGCTTATTTGTGTACAAATATTATTTCCTATTTTATGGTACGTTGCGGTCTGTGTGATTGATATATAAACCAAGTATGCCTGAAATAAACGATCTGCTCTGATTCGAAGCTGGTATTGTGTTCTGGACTCAAGTGGAAGGGCTCGTAGGACATAGGACCAATAAGGACGCTAAACTGCCCACACCGGTTGAACGTCATTGGTTGACCTAGTGTAAAGATCCGTATAAGTCGTATTCGGATTGGTAGATAAATCGTGTGATCGAAAAGACAGACATCCAAGGTCATAACACGGGTACTAGGTAAGGACGAAAAATCAATTGATGAAGTAGCGAAACTTCATCAGTTGAGATGGCTGGGGCACGTGTTACGTATGCCCAATCACCGACTGCCTCGACGTGCGATGTTCTATCTGATGTTTGTGCTGATGACGTCGTTCAGAAGAACGATGAAAGCTCTACGAACAAACCATCCAGCTCAGAGAACAAAACTCCACCCAAAAAGATGTTCGATAGTGTAGGAGTAGGTTGGAAGAATGTTAGGGGCGGCCAGACCACAACATGGCACAAATCCATGAATTCACTGACAAGTGGATTGAGCTATGTTGATAGGTGTAGACTACCTGGTTGGGATCCGCGAGATGATAGCAACCGATGGTTAGAGACCCTGAATGACATGGCTCAAAATTGTCTGCGATGGAGCAGATTCATCCACTCTTTATGTTCTCTCAAGTTCTAATCTTCTGAGACCTTCATGTCCCTTCTTTTTCTCTTTCCAAATTTATTCCACTGTATTATACTTCTTGAATAACATCTCCAAACCCTAATCTTCCCGATTACTGCTTATACTTTTACTACCTCTGCCACTATGGGATTTGAATCGACAAATGCATCTCTGTGCTAATGTGGTATGGTAACATGAACTGATGTACCTACGTGCGAAGTTCTGCGTTGCTACTGACTGAAGTTTTTTTGATGCAGCTGTTACTCTAGAACCAATCTTGCTAGATATTTCGTCCGTTTTGAAGCCAAGTTGTATGAAGAAAGTTATTTTCTCCATTGTAGCACACTATTAATTTTGTTATCTTCGTATTTTTACTAAAAAAAATTTGTGGATTATCATTATTCTTAAGACTTCATTAAAAAAAAGTAGATTTCTTTCCAATCTTTTCCTCAGAACACAATTTTCGTACTCGATTCAATAAAATTCTAACCTAAGCTGGTTTGTCAATTACCGGAAAGAAGCTATTTGAATTTAAATAAAGTCCCCTTTAGATATCCTTTCGACGAAACTACCATTTCCATTGTTGAATACTAAGGTCTAAAAATGAAACTTATCACTACGCTCATGCTCCATTGTAAAATGTATATTCGAGTGTGCATTATATTAAAAAGATTCAGCATACTGACAGGATATTTGCGACTACTGCAAGCAACAAATGTGCCATCAACACACATAACTGCTTCATTACGTATTGTTTTCACCTTCGTTTTAATTTGAATATATATACTATCTACATCGGGTCTAACGGCCCCCCATACCGATATACAGTATTATTACATTAAAATTGTATATCCTCAATACACATCGGTAGAAGCTATTTGAGTGAGTTTGCAACCACTGAATTTAAAGCAATTAATTTCTTTGATAAATTTCGATAATGAAATAATAATAAGATTATTAGAATTATGTGATATATTAGCGCCATACATTCCGAACAATCTGACCACACATATGCTTCTTAAGAACATTTATATATAAAAATAAAAGGTCAACTAGAGTGAAAATGGGGGTAAGAGGACACAAGGATAGTTATAAGAGTAATAATAATGTGAACACAATTTGAAACGTAATTACTCTGGATAATAAGCCAATATTATCAACATTTCCAGTCTAGTTGACCTTTTATTTTTATATGTATAAATGTTCCTAACAAGCATATGTGTGATCAGATTGTTTGGAATATATCACATAGTTCTGATAATCTTCGTCTTCTTATAACTACTATATTCTCGAGGTGGTGTTAATTACGGACACAGTAGGAAAAGCAAATTCCCTGAGCTATAACCTGGTTAGTGGATATGGAAAATCCACAAAAGGGAGTTGAAAAACCCCGACTTCAAACTAATGGTGTATATGCGCTCCAAAATCCTGAGGGAACGAATGTCATATAAACCCATCCTCGGTCACGGCTACCATGGAATTTTTCGCCTGACGTTTTCCTAGTGCCTTTTGGTTCGAGAAGTGGGTCTCTGCTTTGATCTGGGAACCTAGGCAGTATCCCAGCCTTATTATAAATATAGCAATGAAGAATTGTAAAAAAATTTATTCGCTAGCTGCGATTGACTTCTAACTCAAAAGAAAAGTATTACCCACTTAGTTCAAGTGTTTCTAGTTTACCTTACTCCATTTTTCTATCCTTTATTCGATCCCACCCTGTATTTACTTGTATTTTATTGCTTATAAAGCAACTTATCAGTAGTGGGAATTCTGTAGTGTCTAGACAAATCCAAGTTACTGATTAGTATAAAGTTTGAACGCAAACTGAATAACAAATAGGTTCATCTGTGTCTTTGGAAAATCTCATTATTGACATCTACTGTATGTGTGAGATCCGTATTCAAGACTAGTGAAGCACTGCAAATTCACTCTACATCCACTGATTTGAAAAGCTTAAGGCTGTTTGGTGACCACCAGATGGAACCTTTGATTGTACAATTTTCGATTTTATGTGATGTTTAATGTCGATGGACCAAGATAATAACCACCATTGATTATCATCATCTACTGATTTTACTTCAGACAAGTGACCTTC